GGGAACGGGACACTGTGTTTGTGCATGTTATCCACGTATATACACCCACATATATACATACGTGTTTATATATTCTATTATAAATTCATATTCTGTATTTTGATAATTTCTATTTTTACGTATTATGTACATTGGGTATCTATATCTTGGGGGTATCATTCCAGCCCCAAAGTGACAAATACCGGTGTGCAGCAGAGCACCGGAGGAGGCAGAGGTGTAGGACCAGGACACTGTTTGCATGGCACATGTAAAACGCAAATGGCTGCATCCATTCATGGTTGCAAGTCCAGAGGAGGCCATGGAGATGATCAGAGGGCTGGAGCACCTCTGCTACAAAGACAGGGTGAAACAGTTGGGGCTGTTCAGCCTGGAGAAGAGAAGGCTCCAGGGAGACCTTCTAGCAGCCTTCCAGTACTTAAAGGGGGCCTACCGGAAAGCTGGAGAGGGACTTTTTACAAGGGCATGTAGCGATAGGACAAAGGGCAATGGCTTTAAACTGAAAGAGGGCAGATTTCAATCTGATCTAAGGCAGAAATTCTTCACTCAGAGGGCGGTGAGGCAGTGGAACAGGTTGCCCAGAGAAGCTGTGGCTGCCCCATCCCTGGAAGTGTTCAAGGCCAGGTTGGATGAGGCTTTGGGCAACCTGGTGTAGTGGAGGGTTTCCCTGCCCATGGCAGGGGGGTTGGAACTAGATGATCTTTGAGGTCCCTTCCAACTCAAACCATTCCACGTTAGTATAATCCAAGGTCCCAGCCATCACCATTGATGGTCCTGTATGAAAACGTGCGTGCTTTGAGCCCTGCATGTGCAGGGTCTAAACACCTAACTGTTGGCAGGATCATAGAATCATAGAATCATAGAATCGTTAGGGCTGGAAGGGACCTTCAAAGGTCATCTAGTCCAACCCCCCTGCAAGGAACAGGGATATGTCCAACCAGAGCAGGTTGCTCAGGGCCTCAAGGATCAGACCCTTGGGTATTGCTAACATAATTCTTATTTTTAGTCTGTAGTTCTGGGAAAACATCCTGATTCAGCTCCTCTCACTAGTAAAATACACGGCGTATTTATGAATAAGCCTCATAACTGCACAGTTGGCACTAAAAATCCATCCATCCCTGCGATTAATGCCTTCGGTGTAGATGGAGATAGCATAGCTGACAGGCTCTGCGTTCGTGCAGACGCTGAAGTCCACAGAGAGGTGACAGAGTGCACAGCAAGTCAGAAATTTGGTCAAGCACGTGAACATTTTTCCTCCCCCTCACGCTCTACCTTTGCCCCTGCCGTCGCACTGCATTCCTGTTGGAAGCGGTCAGACCTCCTCCACCATGATGTCCGGAGTCAGGCTATTCCTACAAAAAATCCTGATTCTTCTGCACGTTACTACGTGCGTCGTTGTTGGCAAAACACTGATGATACTGTTCCCTAATGCCATGAAAAGACACATCCTTAAACAGGGCGAAAAGAGCAGAATGAACGAGAATCCAAAGTTCAAGTACGAAAACTGGGGTCCGACTTTCTTCAGCTTCAAGTATTTGCTCTTTGTGCTGAAGGTGAAGTGGAAGAGGCTGGAGGATGAAGCCTTTGAGGGACATCCTGCTCCCAACACACCAGTGGTGACTTTCAGCGGGGAAGTTCGTCAACTTTTGGATTTCATGCAAGGTCAGTAGATCAGCTGTGTGGATGGGTTTGGTTTGCTGAGACCATAGATGAGGAGAAGAGGCTGCTGAGGGAACAGGGACAGGCAGCTGGCATGAGAGTGCACGACATGGCAGATGAGGCTATTGGTGTTCATTTGATGGAAAACATGCAACGCATTCTCTTCAGCTGTTTGCCTCTTGATTTTCAAAAATAACCTGTATTTATAATCCTGGCTACAACATCCTTTCGTGCCAGTAAGCTTTTGAACTTCTTGCAAAAGCTGGCTCTGCCTGGAAATGCCTCTTCACTGAAAGCCATGACAATAATTTGTTTTAGGGAGAAAAGACCCAGAATCAGAGCCGTGTGCAGTGATTCACGACTGTTGGCTGTCATTCCCTGTACTTACAGAAAGTCCCACACCCACTCCCTCAGCCAGCCTAAAGCCTAGAAAGCACACGGTGCGTTTTATTCTAGATTCAAAGTGGCCAGAAATAAAGCAGAAGGAAAAGAAGTTGCTTTGTACTTTGTCCGCTGCCTCCCACTGAGATCTCTGTAGAATGCCGAATTAATCATTAAGCTGCAGTCTCGAGCCCCATGGGAGGGATGACATCCTTCTCTGGCTCTGCTTTTCTAATTTTATATATACATATATTTATATATTTATGCAGAAAATAGGATGCAAATTTGGAAAAGAGATACACAGTATCTACAGGAAAGTACCTCCTTTATCAGATTCTTTAGGATGTGGATCAATGCTAGCAGCAGTTTTGAAGTTAAGCCCAGGCAGAAGGAAGATCTTGAACAAATTTCAGGTAATTTAACATAACCATAGACTAAAAGAGGTGCTTAAAAATCCTGCAAGTTCTCTGGAATCCAGGCCTTGCAAACAGATGCTAACACCTGTGGGCACATACTGTATTGATTTGTAAGCAACTGCATAGCTGCTTCCACCAGTGGCTTGTGTAATATTAATTTAATAAATAAGAATATATAACCAGAGTTCTGTTTGGACAGGAAATTGCAGAAATACACTGAAAGCATGAAAGCCTGTGACGCGTGACTAAAAAGTCTGCAGCTTCCACTTGGCTCAGCTGGAACAGACACCTCCAAAAAACATCACGTCCAATAGGTTCATTAAGCAGAATTAAGACATCTCTGACCCACTGTCCTTTGAAAAATCTTGCGGGTGATCAAGTTTAGTCTTTTTGAAGTTCCTTCATACTACGGACCTGGGGGAGGCTGTGATGTGCTGCATGCTCTATATCCACTTTTGCTCAGTTCCCTATCCCAAAATGTTGGTCAGTTGAGAACTGGCTCTCGTGACGAGGATGCGAGAAGAGGTGTGAATGCACGGTGCCTCCTGCCCTTACTGGGCTTCACAAAGGAAAGGGTCCCCCTCGGTTAAGCTCAGTGCTGGGTCCGGCACAGGTCAGAGCCAGGCTAGGGAGAAGAAAGCCTCATTATGCCTGTTTTCCATAGATGCAGATGTTCTGCTGCCGATTTTAATGTCCTAAGAAGAAAGTTAGGTGGCGAGTGACTTACTCACTGTTGCCCAGGAAACTCTGTGGGGGAGGCTCAATTCAGTGCATTAATTTAATTCTGTCCTGCCTCTCACCACTGATTTAACCACAAACTGTCCTGTTTTTTTTTCCAGATAACCGACCTTTAATCCTGAATTTTGGAAGCTGCACCTGACCTTCGTTTATGTTAAAATTCAATGAGTTCAACAAGCTCATCAAAGACTTCAGCTCTATAGCAGATTTTCTTATCATCTACATCGAAGAAGCTCATGCAGCAGGTACAGTACAAACATCACAGTAATGCCCACCAAAACTTCAGACGTGTATCACTCCCTTTAGGAAGAAAAGTATGTTAGCAAAGGAGGGAATGGCAAACGGGAAAGAAATCTCTCAAATCAAAAGTGCCAACGCCAAATCTAGGCACCAGTTTGTGTCCCTAATTCTCCAAAGACTTTACTCACACATCTGACTTTACACCGAGGTACTCCTGCTGAAGACACTCATCTCTGTGAAGGTGAAGCACATAGTAACATCTTCACAAAACTTCCTCTTAGTGTTAGTACAGCTCCTTTTGGAAGGAAAACAAAAAAAAAGGCATTTCACAGAAGAAAAGTTAAGTGTACAATGCCAGCATGTTACACGTTTTTAAAAAAATAATTCATTTTTAAAATATCTCAAGAACAGGATGCAGACTCTAATTTGAAAAATTTAGCAAACAAACTATACACACTCTTTTATCTACACTGGACTCTAAGTAAGACATTGGCACTGATTTTATCCCAGGGTTAAGGTGGTTTTCTAAAATGTAACATTTACAGTTTTCGAGTTTTCTAACAATACAACACTTTTGGCAGTTGAGGGATAACAACTCAGTCAGACATCAAAACCTTTTACTGGTTTCAACTTTACTAGGAAGAGTTGCGTGCAGGTGTGTGTTTGCACATTTCTGAAAAAGGAAGGTGTGCCCTGGCTCAAATGTTTCACTTTTTTTTGTTGTTTTTTTTTTTTTTTTTTTTAAGGCTTAATGAGTAGAATCAAGCAGAATGAACAGTACTATTGTTGAGACTGTGATAAATGAACAGTTATCAGCTGACAGCACTGCATACCATTTTTAAATTCCCTCTGTGCCAATAATTTCGACAAGCTGTACCCAAATAGGATATATGTCCCCCACCTGGTGTCTTTCTAGAGTTGATTTATGTGGGAAAATTTCAGCTAAAATAATCAAATACTTCTGAATCCAAGGCAAGGGGAAAATACAGTTTGCTGAAATGAAAGGGGAAAAAAAAGTAGATCTTGGGACCATTTATGTGAAAAGCTCTAGCGCTCACATGCTCTGAGGAGCGGCTTTCATTTCGTGGCAAGTTTTGGTGTTAGGAGTAAATCGCAGTATTCTTTTAATGCAGTTTTGGGCTATGACACACAGTACATCTCCACCCTTAACTTCTGCTCAGAATGTTCCTTGCCAAATCCCTTTCTCGTTTGTTTTAGATGGATGGGCTTTTAAAAACAATATTGTTATTAAAAATCACAGAAGCCTTGAAGATCGAAAAATTGCAGCACAATTTCTTCAGAAAAATAATCCTTTATGTCCAGTGGTTTTAGACACGATGGAAAACCTGAGCAGTTCAAAATACGCTGCATTGCCGGAACGACTGTATCTGCTTCAAGGAGGGAAGGTCATCTACAAGGTAGAAAATATCAACAATGAGCACAATATATTGAGATTTTTAAATGTCAAAATAATTGGAGAATGCTTTACATTTATCAGTGAGTATTTCATTCTGCTTAAGAGCTAAAAACTTCACAATTCACTGTAACTGTGGAGAGAAAAGGACTTGCAGCAAAACCAGTCTGGGCCTTAAGAATATACATGTTTGACGTACACCTCTGTCTTGCCCAAATATTTACCTTGTGGCTCATTAGGAAACCTAGGCACATCTAAGCTGCGAGATCCAGGAACTCTTCCCAGGTCCGGGATGCAGCCGTTGGCCTTGTCCCAGTTACACAGCAGGGTGTAACCTGCGCGTGTACCACGTCCCACGTGACAGCTGCCACGCAAAGGAAGCTCAAGCACACCTGCCCACAGTTCTGGTGCACCTGCTGTGCTCCAAAGGACTTCTGCTTTGTCTACTTGAGCATCACCATATAATTTTATTGCCTTTGCAGGGAGGAGTGGGACCTTGGAATTATCACCCCCAGGAAATACGCACCATCCTGGAAAAACTGAAATAGAGGAAGAGGACTTCAGAGTAAAGACTATCTGGAATAAAAAGTTCAATGAAGAAGTTTTCATAGACGTAAGCATAAGAAGAAAAAAATTAATAATAGAGATAAAAACAATAATATGCACCCAAAGACCATCTGTAACAGGGTTCATTATGTGTTTATGTAGAGGTTTTCAAGTCTTGTCACTATAGCCCCAACTACTGCTTTGTAGTATCTTACTACGCTTGTACCACATGCAGTAAGGAATGGTGGTTGGGTCCATTGAGCTGTCAAGACCAGATCCCAACGTTTACGTTTGTAAGGAATATCGCGCAGGATGAAGTTCAGGGGTGGTGGTGTTTGCGAAAGTCGACGGGCATGCAAAACAACTCATTTTAAGATTCTCTTCCTCTTGTATACACACAATTTTCCTAAATGTTCACTTTTGATGACTTCAGAAGGCTTCTGAATAAGATAATCTCTGTCAACATTTGTTTCTATGAGTATTTGTTGTGACAGTCACAGCCTAAAGCACGGGCGGCTGTGACCTGATAGTGGAAGGTATTTATAGAAACAAGGGGTTGATCTGAAATTATTAAAAATCTATCCGAGCACTACATATGACTTCAGATTATTTCCCTTCCTCCCCCCTTACTTCCAAGCATTAGTAGACATTTATATTCATCCTATTAATCTTGAACAGTCTGAACGGATGAGAAGGTTACCAATTTAAGAACTTTTCAAGGACTTGTTTGACAGTAGGAAGTAATACCTCCCATTTAAGTATTTCACACTTTTTTTAAACTCGAAGCGCAAGGGAAACATTTTAAGAGAAATCAAGTTTTAATTCATATATTAAGAAAGGCTGATAAAAACACACTAATTTAAATGTTCAGGTGTTCCAGGGTAACCGTCTAGGTTATAAAACTAGAAAGCTGTTATTACAATTAACAGGAGTACTGCATTACATGCCTTAAACTGGTGAGGAATACATACTACATCCATACCTTCAAAAAACCACTTTAATACAAGGTTTTAAAAATAAACATTCTCTTCACTACAGATATCAAAACATAGCTTCTTTATTTAAAAAAAAGAAAAAAAAAAGAAAAGAGGTACAAATTTAAGATGGACTTAAGTGGTTTCTGCTGCGCCCTCTGCCATTACTCGGTGCACTGATACAAAATGATCAAATGCAGATTTGATGATGAAACGCAAGTAAGTGGCTTGGAAATCAGGAAGCTGTGGAAGGAAAAAAAAAGGTGTTATTGCATTCTCTGTAGCAACATAACTATCAAACAACATCTGCAGAAGTTTGTTAGACAGAAGGATCTAGATATTTCTGTGTCTGTTTTCCAATTACACCTAAGTCAAGCTCTTTTAATAAATCTAGTCAGCTTCAGAGTTTCTTTAGATGACTGCAATTCCAAAAAGTCCCATCCCTCCCAAATACTGCAGCCTTAAAGACAACAATTGAAGGAGGAAAGACTGCCACACTGTTGGAAAGAGCTCTTTCACGCAGTTAGAAGCAGCAGGCAGGTGCAATTTCATACCATAATCTACAAAGGAGCAGCTGGGAAGTGCAATTTCATACCATGACCTACAAATTCCTGTATCTAACATCAACTTAGCAATAATTGTAAATAAAGATATGTTTTGTTTTTTCATAGTTTCTCTTTAGTTAGTCTCAACATCCCATTTCATGAACCAGTACTGATGTACGCTGTAAATACTCACTGGAAATTCTTCCATTTGAAGCTGTCCTTCTATGTGTTGCAAATCTAGAAAATACATTTTAAAGCAAATAATGAATAATAATGTGAAAAGCTGTGTAAAGTTTTCACTAGACTTCAGGTTCAAGAGAGTTCAAGGACCATGAACTTACACTGCCTATAGAAGTTGTTATTTTTTACAAGGTCGTTTGTGAGAACAAATACTTTTTGCAATATCCCAGTGCATATTTTATTTTACGTATATATATTTATTTTATATATATATCTCCCACTCATTACACTGTTTTATAAAATATCACCCAAGAGGCATTAAAAAAAAAACAAACAACAAAACAAACAATGCAGGGAATATCACTCTATTACACCATGTCAGTCTGGTTTTAATTTTCCGAACACAAAAGCAAGTGCACAAGTAGTGCTTTTAGCACTTATACAGCCTTTTACATCTCCAAACTGCTACAGAGACCAGCAGTATTCATAAACTTAATTTAAATGTGACTATTACATTGATGTCTAATAAAATAATCAAGCCGCACTTGACTACTTAACAAATAGGCACAGGGTTAAAAAGACTCACTGAAAAAGATCAACAATATTCCCACAAAATCCCCACTGCTTCAGATTCAGCATCTTACCTTTTTCAATGCACTGTTCAAAACCTACTGGGTCTTTAGAGACACTTCTTTCAATCCTTAAAGTCCGCACTAAAATATATATACATATAAAATATCAGTGCAAATTCTGATTCTTTATTGATACTGATATTTATTCAATCACTTTTCATCTACAAAGCACTTTAAAAGCATTAACTAATCCGTTCCACCTCTAATTTATCAGGCAGGACTGTAATAGAACCACTATCCTCATGTTCCAGGTTGGACAAAGAATGACAAATTTTCAGGTCTTTTGTGTAACTTTTGTTAATGGCCAAGCTCCTGTCTCCATGCTCTGACCTTGTAACAGTCCTTTCTGGTTTAGAACTCACATTTACCTTCATGTTATTTTAAAAAGTAAGACTGACAGGAGTTTCGTCCTACAAAATTATAAAAAGGAATATTCAAAATAAATCATGACAAGAGTAAGTATTGTAGCCCTTGTCCATTAAACTAGAACAGCCATCACTGTGCAAAAGAACGGTTAATTATAAGCTCAATACAAGGTGTTTTAAGGACAAAGTAAGTGCAGGTGGGGAAGATTTTCCTTCTTTTTCTGATTTATTTATGAATAACTTTGGACGTGAAGGACGATTGCTTTGTGAAGTTAAAATCTTTGTGAATCTGTTAAAAGTGGCTACTTACAGAATACGACACCACTGTGAGAACTTATATACAGGCACAGACACACATTTCAACATAGTAGGTATTACCTACCGATATACGTGAAGTCTTACCCAAATAACACTGGATTGCGACTTTGCTGATTTTTACACATTTAGGGAAGCCAATAATGAATTCCTGCGGGAACATGCCTGTCGTCGTCCAAAATGTTTCTGAACTTCTGCGGAGAGAACGCGACAAAACCCCGCACCTGCAGCTTTCCATCTATAACCATCTTGAAAGAAACCAGAAACCTGCAAAGCCATTTTTATTTGGGGCATTTTAAGCAAATCCCTGTACGACAACGAGGAAGCTCTCTGGAGGTACCGACACTTTAACGCTCGGACTCCGCAGCCCAGCTGTACCACAGAAGGACTCACGAATGGCGAACTGAACGATGTGGCAACATGAGCGGGAAGGCCAAGGACAGAGCCTGGCGGTGACGGGGCTGAGG